TGGATGTTTGATGAACCATGGGCAAAATAGTTATTCACATGGTCCCCACCAGGCCTTTTGAAACGTAGGCATGCAGATGCTCAAGGAAGAGATCGAAATCTTTAACCCAGGTCTAAAACTAATGAGGCCCCCAACATGGCTGACCCCAGAACATGTCCGCGAGACCAAAAATCACTCCTCTATTATAGTGGACGTGCAGAATAAAGCCATGGCATCCAAGGCAATTAAAAATATAACTCTGTGTTGCAGGAGCTTTATGTAGAGCTACTAAATATATAGAGAAAACTGCCCAATGCCAAAAATGCCAAGGATACTAGCATATTACTCGTATACTGCAAGAATAATCCAAAATGCGCTATTTGCGCAGAAAAGGCATGAAACCCAATACCATGAATGTTCCACATGCGAATAAAAAGCCAGGAATGTCCCCACACACAGGTTAAATGCGCTAATTGCAGTCAAGCCCACAGAGCAGATAGCAAAACTGCAAGGAATGGGAAAAAGTCAAACCAAAACCAAGGCCTAGGCCTACAGAAAGACCAATCCCAAACAGTACATGGAATTAATTACTAATAATCAGAAAAACACTGATTTAGGAATCTATTTCCTGCAAAATAATACTGGACGCAATCAGAATGCTATGTTATCTTGCTTAGAAATAGGCCTGGAGCTTAACTCGTGACTTTATTATCATCCAGGAACCATGGATAGCGCCTGATAATAGCTTTACTATATCCCACCCAGCATACACCCCAATCCTCCCTGAGCAAACCAAGGTTAGACCTAGAGTAGCAATCTACCATAGAAAGCTATCTAGGTTTAATTATTGCCAAAGAAACGATATTAGCACTGATAGTGATTTGCTGGTAATAGATATCTTAGGTGCAGAAATCCAAGATCTGCAGCTAATAAATATATATAACGAGCAATCACTAGAGGAAGGCGCCGAGTGGACAATAGAAAGAGCCCTAGCTAGGGTTACCCCCTCCACACATGCAGTAATAGGGGGACTTTAATGCACACCATAGCTGGTGGAACTCAAAGACATTATCACCTACCAGGGCTGATACTTTGATTAAATGGCTTGAAGAACATCAATGTGAACTGCTAAATAAACCTGACCTGCAAACATGCCATAGAAAAAGGAATGAGAAATGTCTCTGTTATTGACTTAACCTTTATTACCAAAGGTCTAAATCAATATAGAGTAAATTGGGAAATTGACCAAGAACTCGCCTCGGGATCAGACCACGAAATTTTGCTTTATTCTGTTGAAGTAAAAACACAAGAAATTGAAAACCCCTGGTCAGTTTACCATATAACCTAAAATGGCAAATTGGGCATTATTCAGCAAGAAAATCCTCGAGCTAGATACAAGCCAAGAATTCAGACAGGGGAGCTTTAATACCGATATAGAGCTAGAAACCGCAGCTCTAAATCTGCAAGAAATAATTCAAATAGCTGCAGATGCTAGTATCCCAAGAAGAAAACCATCTGCCCAGTCAAAAGCATGGTGGTCAAAGGAACTTAAAATACTAAGGAAACAGCTTGGAAAAGCTAGAAAACTTTGGAAAAATAACCCATGTCCAGAGCTCTACGAAAATCTTCTAGAGATTAAAAATCAATATTTCCGGGAGATTAAGCAAGCTAAATCCGCATGCTGGAACAAATTCCTAGAAGAAGCTCGGAACAGGGAGATTTTCAAAGCTTTTAGCTATACTAAAAAGAGATCTGTTCAAAAACTGCCTATCTTGACCTATTCTATAGAGAATCAAGAGAAGCAAGCAATCTCCTTTCAAGATAAATGTCATGCATTTCTTTCCACCCTGTTTCAAAACCCCCCGGAGGCTAAGCCCATTGAGTGGCCAACCAACCAGGCAGAGTCAACCAACTGGCCAGAAACCAGGGAAAACGAGGTGTACACTGCTATCTTTAGTAGCTCTACAAAAAGGCTCCTGGACCTGATGACATCTCATTCTTAATTATTCAAAAGGCTTACCAAAATATTGCTCCGAGATTCCACGAGCTTTATAAAGCCCTAATTAGAAATGGTTATCATCCCAAATGTTGGAAAACTGCCAAAGGGGTTATTCTTAAAAAATCCGCGTCTGCTAAAAGGGACTACTCCAAGCCCAAGGCCTACAGAGTTATTTCCCTGCTTAACTGCCTAGGCAAGGTAGTAGAGAAGATTATTGCAACTAGGCTATCTTATCTAGCTGAACTCCCGCAATCAATCCTTTACCATGACCAAATGGGGAAGAAAAAGAAAATCAGCAATTGATATAGCACTATCCCTAGTCCATGACATAGAGGTGGCAAAACATAATAAAATGGTTACTACAGCTCTTTTTTATAGATGTAAAAGGAGCTTTTGACCATGTATCTACCAACCAGCTACTTAGAATATGTCTAAAACTAGGTCTTCCACATAACCTGATCCGGTGGATCAAATCCTTTATGTCGGACAGGAAAGTGTTCCTAGCTTTTGACGGTGAAACCAGCAACGAGACCCCAGTGCAAGTAGGGATCCCCCAGGGATCACCTATATCACCTATCTTGTTCCTATATATATTAGAGAGCTCTTTCAGCTTGAAATGTATGAGGAACTAGATAGTGATACAAGGAAAGCCTTTGGAAATACCCGAAAGCCTAGCTATATGGATGATATATGCCTTACTATTAGCTCTAATAGCCTAGAGAATAACTGCAGGCAAATAGAGCTGGTAGCCAATGCCATGTTTAAAAAAGGAGCCAAAGACCATATCCAGTTTGACCAGGATAAAATACGTATTCACTTTAGCTCTAAACAACCAGACCAAGAAAACCAAGACACCAGGTTAAACTAGATAATAATATATAGTTAAACCAAGCCCTATGGTAAAATGGCTAGGAATCTACATAGATTCTAAACTCCTTTTCAAAGAACACGTGCAAATACGAGTTGCAGCTGCAACTAGGGCATTTCACCAAATAGCGAGGCTCTCAAATACAGAAAAGGGGCTAAGCTTCCAAGCTATAAGACAACTCTATATAGCATGCATTTCGTCTATTGCAGACTATGGAGTCCCTTTATGGTGGAAAGGCCAACAGTACCTAGTAGACCACTACCAGAAACTGCAAAATACAGCCCTAAGGAAAATTCTAGGGACTTTTAAAACATCGCCTATACAGGCCATGGAAATAGAAGCATCCCTGCCCCCACCATTAGTTAGATTTAATAAAATCTGCAGAAACTATGTACTCAGGACTGCTTATTTTATAAAATCCCATGCAATCCAAAGCAGACTTCCAACCACGTTTACGCTAAACCCGGGGAATTTGCCATTGACCAATCAAGGTTTTTAGACTGGAATGAGAAACCTAGACGGCTAGATCTAGAAGACCCTGAATACCATCCTAGAGAGACACAAAGAAAACACCCTAGCCAGTTAATTCGACTGCTAGCACTTTTCTCTTTTAAAACATGGAAAGGCACCTTCCAGACACTAGATCACACCCTACCCCCCTGGTCCCAGCCATTAAACCAAATAATAGATATATCTATATCTAGCAAACCAAAAGAGCAAGCAGCCCAGGAACACAAGGCGCTAATATCTCAATGGCTTGCTGGTAGAGACAACCACAAGATTATCTTTTATTCAGATGGATCCCAGCTGCAAAGCGGTCAAAATGGAGCAGGAATCTTCCTCCAAGAAAATAATCCTCAAAATCAAAAGGCTTGGGCATGGAATCTAGGTCACGAATACGAGTCCACGACGCGGAGCTATTTGCTATTCAAAAAGCATTAAAACAAGCATTTAAGACTATTCAAATTCCAACCTTAGATATCTACATCTTTTCAGACAGCCAAGCAGCCTTAAAAAGGCTTCAATCAGCGGACACCAACTACGAGCCACACCAAAGAATCTCTAAATGGGCAACTAGGATTAAGGATAAGAATATCAATATTCATATTCACTGGGTTCCGGGCCATCAAGGAATTTTTGGAAATGCTAAAGCTGACGAAGCAGCTAAGTATGGGGCAGAATGGACAAGTAAATACCATAAGTGCCCATCTCAGTTAGCCATCTTAAACGAGAGCTTAAAGCGAAATGCCTTGAGGATTGGGATAAAGCATGGGAAAATACTAAGAAAAGTGATCAATACAGGGGCTTTAATTCCATAGCTTCATGGAAGCCAAACCCCTAAGGCTTCCCAAGCAGACCTGGTCAACCATCATCCAATTAAAGCTAGGGCACGGCTACTTCAGATCATATTTAGTTAGAACACCTAACTATAATAGTGATATATGCACGTCATGCCACAGCAATAAACCTCAAACTCCATACCACCTACTCCTCCAGTGCCCGGCAACCAGGGACATCAGAAAAGGGTCTATAGAGACCCTAGACAAAAAAGACCGAAATTTGCCTTATCTTTTCACGAAGAAAGCAGGGCAAGAACAACTGATCAAATTCCTAAAGGAAAGCGGGATCGCCACTAGAAAGTGGCTCTTGGATCCATAGGGAAAACAAAAAGAAAAAGCAAAAATAAAAAATAAAAACAGTGGAAATTAGCATGTTTCAACTCCTTATTTAAGGTCCCCCCACCCTAGAATGTCATATTGCTTAGTTATGTTTGATTTTACCCACTATGTACGTATCTGTTTGTTAGTTTAAATCCTACCACCCAGGGTGGTGGTAGGTAGAGCATGCATAGTCTCTGACTGAAAAATGCTCTATAATATGGAAGAATAATAATAATAATAATAATAATAATAGCAGCTGCTTGTATTACTAGGCCACCTAGTTTTTACCTAGTTGTTGTCCCTTCTTGCATGTTTGGGATATTAAGATATAATATATCCCTTTTCTCTGCAGATATAGCATTTAATATCAGGGTTATACAACTGCTGTCGCTTATAACCTTAGGACCTATTAAAGTTTCCTTTAAAGGCACGATTGTTGCCTCTCCATGGCTTGTCTAGGCCCTGTTAACTGGAAGGTTGTTGTCTTTCCGTGTTACCTGGGGTTGTTGTCCGGTGCCGCATAGCTAAGCTGTGTTAGCTTCTCCTATTTTTCGCTTGCGATATTTCCTTGCGTCGACCCGGTATAGAATCTTTAATTATTTAAAGGTAGGCGATATAGCCTTTATATATCTTTGGTTTGTTAGGGTATTTAAGTGCTTCGTGTCGCAGGTCTTGCTTAACTCTTGTCCGGAGGTGATTTTTTGTTAATTTTCTATGTATGCTTCTGGGATCTAAACTTTCTATTAGTTAAGGTAAGCTGCAAATTCCCGTATATTTTGGTAATCCTGTTATCTAGTATTATAGTAGCGTTGGCTTGCATCTTTTACAGGTTAACAGGGTTGTTTAATTAGCGTAGTAGAAACTTGCGAAAGTCCTCCTAGGTAGGTTTATTAGCAACTTCCTCCTTGTGTTGCCTTTATAGGCGGATAAATATTATATATAGATGTGCCGTACCTTCCACTACTTTTTATTATATTATTAGTAAAGTAGTAGCAATTTTGTTTAAAATAGGTTTTTATACATATAATAAATATCTGGTATTCCTGCATGTTTTTTCCTATGTATTCTAAGACATGTGCTGGGGGTGCTGGCGGTTTTAATATATATATAGGCTCTTGCATAGGCTGGGGTGCAGTTTCTTGTGGTATTCTATGGTTAGGTATGCTTATATTAGATTCTGGCTATAAAATTATTACACTTCGGTTTTCTTGGATATATTTTTTATAATTAATAAGCTTTTACAATACCCTTTTTTTATTTTCCATGCGTAATCTCTTAAGTTCCTGCTTTTATTAGTGTATCTAGTCCCGGAGTTCGGCAAATTTATTATCTGATAAAGAATCGTTTGTTGTTGTGGACCTAGTAGCCCCTTTTCAAGGGCTATTACCTTGCAACACAGCTGTTTCCTTTAACTGTTTCTTTAGCTGGGCCCGGATTTATCGAAGCATTAGGTTGTGCTTGGATAGATGCGGTATTCTCTGAGACGGGGTTAACAGAATTCTTGGTGTTTTGGGTGGCTTGGGAGCCAGCACGCTGCACGCGTCGAGGTGCCATAGTGCTCCTTTCAGCGGGTTACTATTGGGGTAAGCGATTAGAACTGTTATGCGTGGAGGTTGGTAACGAGCTGAATGGGGCGCTACAGTGCGAAAGGGAGTGTTTATATGGGAGAGAAGATAGGACCATGTATATTACAGAACTAATCGCTGGCCTTCAGGAGTTCAGGCCCGCGGGTGCGAATATAAACACTTCGCACCTGACTAAGCATCTTAGCTAAGGATCTAGCTATCGCGCTTCCGAGCGCTCCTAACAAGTATGCCGGTTCTTACTAATATACTTTAAATAGCCTATATTTGTTATAAATTATATAATCCACTTGGCTTGCTTTGCATATAAGGCTAATGCGATATACTCTGCTTTGGTTATTAATATTAATACCGCAGGTTGTTTACAGCTTTGCTATAAGATTAGTTCTCCTCCCAGCATGAAAAGCATGCCAGATCTTAACTTTTAATTAAAATAATCTCCTGTGTAATTAATATTTAAATAGCTAATAACCTAATTCGCATGCCTAGAACCTGGTCTATAGTAAATTTTTAGGTTAATTGTTGATCACAGGTAGTATAAAAAGGCTTTTATATCTTAAGCGTGCTTTTTAGTTGGTTTATTTATAAACTATACAAGCGCGCTTGTTACATACGCAATATTAGGTCGCAAATAGACTATTATAAATATTGTACTACCAACTCTTTGCTGATAATCTTGTTTGGGTGCGAGTTTATTATCTTGTTGTGCTTTTAATAATATCTTGCCACTTGGTATTAGGACGCGGGTTAGTGTAACTACTTTATAATTTATATTATACTGTCGCAGCATTTGCTTGATGTATACTAACTGGTCCAGGTAGATTATATAGTTTAGACAGTCGCGGGTTATACAAATACCAAGGATTTTTAAAATCTCCCCCAGATCCTTAATATTAAAGTGTTCCGCGAATTTTACTTTAAACTTGTTAATTTCGCGCACGTTCTTTGCAGCAATAAGTAGGTTATTTATATATAGTTTAATAAAAATACCTATAGTATAGTTGCAGAATACACATGGTTTACTTGGAATAGCCTTAAATCCTATTTCTTTAAGTGTTTTTAAATATAGGTTGTACTAATCTCGCGCAGCTTGTTTTAAACTATACAAGCTCTACTTTAACTTAAGTACATGTCTATTAAACAGCTTAGCACTAGCTAGCGGATATATATATATTTACTCTTGCAGTGTTATTTTAATAAAAGTGTTATTAATATTAACCTAATATACTTTAAAGGTTTTAAAGTGTAATAATAGCTAGCATAATTTGCAGGAGTTAATATAAATTATTAGTATAAAGGTTTTTTTATAGTTAACTTCTTAAATTTAACTAAAATCTTTTATAACTAGTTATATTTTAAATTATTTAACTTCCCTATTTAGTATATACTTAACTGCAAAACCTATTTCGCGGTAATAATATTAGCGCTGTTAGGCGTGTGGGTCTTGTAAAAGGTACTGTTAATAATAAGTAACTAAAATTTTAATTAAATAGCCCTTTTTACTTAGGTTTATAAACTAGGTTATTAATAGCTTCTTTGTATATACAAGGGATCGGAATTAGGTTATTAACCTTAGGCATGGTTTTTGTAATAGTTTTAACTAATAGTATAAAGTGGATTATTTTATTAACTTTATTTTACCACTTCTGCTTTTTTAGTTTTAACCTTTTTAATTAGCAGAGATTTGTACTTTTATACTAATTTATTATTAGTATATTCTCTTTTCTTAGTTAGTATATAGACTTCCAGTATTTCTTGTGTTTTACAGGAATTAGCTCTTTATTACTGGCTCCTACTAAGTCTCAATGCTTTTAATAGCAATTATCTAAGTAATTATAGTTAAAACTCTTAGCCACTGTTTTATATTATTTGTTGTTGGCTGGTTCTGGCGAGCTATCCCGCGAAGTTGGTGATATTTTATCCTGCTTTCTTGGTTAACCTACAGGATTCCTATCTGGTAATACAGTGGAGGTGGATCTAATTTACAGCTTTAGATTAATTATACCGCCGGGCGTATTTTTATTAAAGATAACTGTTAATACTTAAATAACACGATGGGAGTCTAGCGTGTAAATATAGTACTACTAAGTGGTTTTTTATTATATTTAACAAAGATTCTAACTTGTCCGTGATTAGTAAGTTTGTTACTACTAGAGACTAATTAAGGATTAATATACAAATAATATTTACTCCCCTAGACCTTTATATATATAATTTTAGGGTGAGATCCTGTTTATAGCTTTTAGGTGTTATAGCATCTTTGTTTTATTTATTGCGGACTATGGTATTACTACCTAATTATAAATATATGCGTGCGCTTTTTTGCAGCTTTATTTTAAAATTTTATTAGTAATAAAGCCTGCTTAAATATAGCTTATATATTTTTTCGGTCGCTTGTATTATATGTTTAGCTGGACTGTTTTAGTGCAAGGTGTATAAAACTATTAATTAAATTTTTAGTTTATTACTTTTTTTTTTATTTTATATTTTTTTTATAAGTTCTCCTGCATTGTTAATAAGCGCAGCCTTTAGCTTGTAATTAGATTTTAATTCGGCTTGCTTTTTCTATTCTTCCAGTGCTATGGGTGCTGCTGTTTTATTAGAAATTAGTAGTACCTAGTACTTGCAGGTACAGCTATCCATAATCTTAATAAACTAGTAATTACTATTAATTATTGTTAGTAAAGGGCCGCAGATATTTAAGTATATTTATTCTAGTAGTTTAAACTTCTTTTTTACTTTACTTTTAGCCCTTGTTTTTAACTATTTTTATTTTTACGCAGACATCGCATACTTTAGGTTCTGCTTGGCAAGGAATTAATTTCTTAAGATTTATAATTTTATAGAGGTTTCGCAGCTTGCTTTTATAAAAATAGCCTATTTATTAATACTATAAGTTATATATTTTTTCTTTTTTTTATTATAATATATATGGGGTCCTAGTTCTAGTAAATTACTAATTTTTTATATTGTATAGGCGTATTTTATAATATTTAATAAAAACTATTTAATAATATACAGGTTATTTTTAATTATTACCTGTAATACTAATATTTAGTTGCAGTAAAATAATATACCCTTTTTAGTAATAATACCTTGTAATCCTTGTTTGCACAGGACATGGATAAAAACTAGATTTGCGCTTAAGCTCGGAATATATAGAATATTTTGCAATATAATCTTGTTATAATAGGTATTACCTAGCCATATAGTACTATAGTCTTAGATTAGTAGTTATCCAGTACCTGTTTGCACCTTATGTTTGGTTGTAATTATATAAAGCTTAGTAAATAGCTTTTAATTACCAGTTATATACAATGTTGCACTGGTATTTATAATTTATTTATACTTGTTAACACAGGGGACGAATTCTTTGTTAGTTAATATAATTAAGTCTAACAAAACTTTATAAGCAAATTTAGAAGCTTTTATAAGCTGTGTTAGGTACGCCTTTTTGTTATTAAAGTTAGAATTAAAATCTGGGTCTAATTAAAATAATTTAGGTGCTAAATTTAATTTCTCCCCTTTAAAACTAGATTATAAGTCTGTGTTATATATATATACCTTTTTCTATTTTTTTTAGTAGTATTTTTAAAGTTTTATATATAGCTTTTTAAGTTCAGAGCGATCTAGGCACTTATCCCATGGGTGTTTGTTATTATATATAATATAACAAGGTTTTTTATTTTTTTTAGCAGCAGCTTAATACAATTGCTTTCTTAGCTTATAGTTAAAGCTTTTACTAGAGGTACTATATTACTAATAAGATTTCTTGTTATGTCTTTAATCGCGTGCGTCTTGGTGTTTTAAATAGCTGTGGTTGTAATTATATTATTAGTGTTAAAATCCCTTTTAATCTTTTTAGTAGTCTTAAGCTAGGTATATATCCTTAACTTTTGCATTTTTTAATTTATTCTTTTTTTTTTAAGTGTTTCAAGGGCGTTGTTAATATCTTTTTTAAAAACTTCTTAGGTATCAAGTGTATCTTGTACTGCTTTGTATTTATCCAGGAGCAATGCAAGAAGTTAATTAAAGATTATTTTTTTATTTTAGGCTTCTTGTATATATAGTAGCTTTGCTCGTAATTTATATATTATTCTGCAAAGTTAGTTATAGGCATCCCGAATAAAAATATCTTCTGGTTTGCAGTAATTATAGAATTTAGCTAGTTTTTCTTATATAATACTAGGTTGCAATAATTACTATTTTTTTTTTAAAGCCTTGAACTGCTTCTTTGCCGTGTTATACTAATTAAAAAGGTTGTGTTTACTATCAGGAACAAGTTAACAAATAAAAATAGTAATAGCTTTATTTGTATATTAGTCTGGTTGTTTAGGACCTGTAATAATCCACCAGAGCTTCTTACTATCCACTGCTTTTTTAAAAATATTAAACTATTAGTCTATATTATTTTTCAACAGTTTCGGAACTATTTTTCGGATATTATTTAGGTTTATGCTATTAGATATCGTTCAAAGAGGTAAACTATCGGTCGTGGAAGGCTTTTTATTGTTCTTATTATAGTTAGATCGAACCTGCGAGGTCGCGTTTAATGCAGGTGTTGTTGTTTCTGGAACTAGTGTGGTAGGGGGTTGTAGACCACGGTTTCCAGCGGGCGAGTTAGGTGAGTCTGATTCTATAATTAATAATACAGCTTCTTATAGTTCGGCGAAGTTATATATATCAGACATTAGGAGTAACAAAGTAAAATAAGAACAAGATAAGTATAGTGTTTAGTTCTTCTTACAGGACTACTAAAATATCCTTTATATACTTATTTATTTTATTAAGATGCTGCATACGTCTGACTTTGCAATCTTTATTAATAACCAGACAGTGTGGAGTGTCTGGGTGCGAACACCTTTTATTATCCTAGTAGTATAATCACGTACTAAGATAGGCTTTGCTGGCTGGTAAACCTTTAAGGGAATATCACGTCCTCGCAGAGCTGGCTAGTAATAAGGAATATAACCTCCTTTAATCAAAACTCCAAGCTTCGCAGTCTATTACCAAAGTCAGGGCCCTCTAACAACGCTAATAATAACTCTTCGTAGTTTATTTACTGCAGACTTACTTAGGCCCAACTGTTCGCTAGCTTTATAACCTCAGCGGTACCCAGCACGCAGCCGGGCTCATAACCTGTTGAGAATCTCGGGGAAGAAGCTATGTTGTGAGGTGCTAGGATAGCGGTGACTGGATAGTATATTGAAACTATCGGTGCGATCTAGTATAGCATGGTGAGTATGTTCGACTATCTAGGAGAGAGAGCGTAGACAAACGCTTCCTCATGTCTACGTGTCCCTTAGCCCCTGAATATGATATATCACATCGCTGCGGGACTAGGATATACAAAGGTGCCTTAGGCATCCTGATTTCCAACAAGTGTTATATATTTTTTATAATATATAAGTTTATTTAAACCTATTAAAATTAGTAGTTTATACTGTTACTAGAAATTATTACTTACAGGTAAATAAATAAGTTATGCTTATTTTAGTAACTTCCTGCAGAGTATTAATTGCCTGGGGTGTTACATGAAACTCGGGGTTAATTGTCTTCACGGCTTCACGGACAAGGCGTCCAAATATAGATTTAAAAATAAAAAAGCCAGTTTGGTTTACATAGTGATGAATTTCCCGCTCAGACTTTAAAGTAATTATTAGTAAATGTTGAGAATCTCGGGGAAGAAGCTATGTCGTGAGGTGCTAGGATAGCGGTGACTGGATAGTATATTGAAACTATCGGGTGCGATCTAGTATCGCATGGTGAGTATGTTGTTCTATCTAGGAGAGAGAGCGTAGATAAACGCTTCCTTATGTCTACGTGTCCTTTAGCCCCTTGCGTGTGATATGTCAGATGGCTTCAGGACTAGGATACCCGAAGGTGCCTTAGGCATCCTGGTTTTCAACATATAATGCAATTTTTTGGGAAATAATATTAGCCACCGTGGTCGCTTCCAGCTAATAAAGTGTAGCACATAAGAAGTTTGCATATATAAGTATTTTACTCTACTCTTATATTTATTGCCTTTTAGCATATGTCGAATGAATCATATCATTATTAGCCCCGAGCTGTCCAGGTCTCACTGATCCCAACCCTGCAGCTGCTTTGTCGGCCACAGCCATAATTTGTTCCGCTAGCAACACTGGCTGGCTAAGCATGGGAGAATGTCCCGCGTTGCACCGTTGCACTTCTGACTTAGCTATACCCGCAAACATCTCCTGGTACTGAGGCGGGGCTGCCTTGTCATTCTCGCAAATAAGATAAGTCGAAGGGACATACTCGTACGCGGCACGAGTAACAGACATTGTCTGGACCTTGTAGGACTGGGGGATTAGACGCGACTCCCACAATTTCGCTTCAGCATCTGGAAGGTCATTGTACAGCAACATTGCCCCGTTCTTGATCCAGAAACGACCATCAGGCTGGTTGTTGGTGTGTTCAGCGATATAATGTAAAAATAATTATAAAAGGGAGCTAGATAAATAATATCACGCACCTTAACATCGTTGTTCGGGGACTCGCCGAAGGTCCCAAAGACTGACTGCCCTTTCCCCAGGATGAATGCAGAGTAGTAGAACAGATGGATAACTCCTCCCTTTTTACCCTGGGCCTGGCGGGCTGCGTGGCTAAGGCTTTCAGGGATCGCTTCGCTCCCAACAATGCCACCGTAAGAATGCATCACAATAACCACTAGCTTGCCCTCTTCGACCAGCGACTTGACAGTCTCAGTAACGGTGAGTGCATCGTCGGCCAGGGTCCGAGTAGGGAAGTCGTCGCGGTCGACATCCGAACAGCTAGGAAGGGCTGGGTGAACAACCGCGTACCCAGCATCTTGTAGACCGGTTACGAGAGCGTCATAAACTTGGGGTGTCTGGAAGGAGCCTTGGACATTCACAATGGTGGGTTTGGTGGAAGCCATATCCGAGCAGAGAGTGACTTGGTCGTCTTCTGGTTGTGGTGTAGGAAGTGGTAAGGACAAAGTGTAAGTTATTACTTACAATAGTACCGATGGCAGGAAATTATAAGTCCATATTATTATATACATACATACAGCTAGTACATACGGTACTCCGGTATATCCGGTACATGCATGTAAATAAATACTGTTTTTATTATACATTAGTAATAGACTGTTTCAATTTTTGCATACACCATGTCTGTCACCGCTCTCTTAGTCTTAAGTGAGACGGGTGGGGCGATCGACCAAACAGTATGTAATATAAAAATAAAGGCCAATATAAAAAAATTCAGGCTCCCATGCCTGGCTACAGAGCTAGAGCCATGTTAAAGGCACCGTCTTTCCCTCTACTAAAAGCTGGACCTGTCAGCATTATTTGCGCTTGTTATTATTATTGTGACGGCCAAGCAACTTGATGAAATTGGTGCTATCTAACGAAAATTTCGAACGTGGAGAGGAGGAAGAAAGGTGGTGAGGGGACTATGCGGGGAGATAAACAAAGCTAGATACAAACAATGCAAACAGGCTACCTGGTGCGTTCGTCACAATTATGGGGATTGTGGCTTCAGCTATCACCGCGGTTTTTAAACCTACTCTCCAGCAGCGTCTCCTACGCTCCCTACGGGGCGGCACATTTGTTATTCCGGATCTGGAAGAGAACTTCGCTCACTGGCCTCAGGATATCAGTCCCGATGTGAACCGTCTCGCAAAAGAGGTTAACCGCAGGCTGGACCAGTATGTTCAAAGTTGGCTTATTTGGCTGTGGTTGCTGTGACTGATAATATAACCAGATTCTTTCCCGGGGACAAGATCGCCAGCAAGTTGCACGACGCAGGAGTAGCAGTTTTTGGAGCCTGCTGGTGGCCATATGCTCCCCTCGATCGATTATGTATTACAACCTATCTCTTATTATAGGTAAGCTCTCGCCCTAACTACTTGGTTTAGGACTTCTGCTAACACAGGTTTTTATACAGCTGTTCGCCTGGGATGATGGTAAATCTATCCCTTTCTGGACGCGCTCCTCCATGAAACCAAGTTAGGCTAATACTAAAATGGATGAAGAGGGACAGGAGGTAGGCTGCTGTGATTATCTGCCAACCTGACCTGTCTACCACTCTCAGGACAGCGAAGCAGATGAGATGAACCATAAGGATGTTGGGAGCCTGCACGTGCCATTCTCCATGAATGAAGAGTCCGTGGTGTGTCCCAATTCCTATAATCGCCCCGAAAAACCAACAAGGTATGTTCTCCATACTTCCGAATTAGGTGTTTGGCCTAATGATGGAAATAAAATACAGAGAAAGGCTATGTTTAAGTGAGCGGGAATATATGTTCGGGCCACGAAATGCAAGAACATAAATAGAGGACATCGTACCTGTTTAATTCCTCAGGACAGACCAATTTCACAAACCCTATATTCCACATCGGAGACTCACAACCATGCCAACCCAATCGCGTCTTCTGTGGACGGACATGCCGTCGTTGGTTTGGGGATTCACGGAAAGTGATTAGCTACCCAGACTTCTTTAAGCTCGACTGCGACAGACCGCTTAAATTTACGCCTGGTTAGGGCCTCGAACTACATTCAACAATTTAAGTTAAAGGTTATCCATCGACCAGGGAAGACAAACACCGTAGCAGATGCCTTGTCAAGTTTACCAGCTCAGAAACCTACTAGTTTGGACGTTGATCTCGATTCAGCTTACTTCTCCGCCTCGACGGTCGAAATATCTGAGTCCTTCAAGCAGGAATTGCGACGTGCTTATTCCGACGATCCTCGGGCTACTAAGATTATTAGCTATCTGAAGGAACACCCGAGCGCCACAGAGATTATTCCATATCGATTGGACAAAGACTTGTTGTTTATGAAGCATCAGCCTGGCGACGAATGGTGGTTATATCTGCCGAGGCCCTTGGTTAAAGGTGTTTTCAAAATAATCCACGATCAGGAGAATTATCAGGGCCTTGATAAATGCCTTCCTCGCTTAAATGGTTTTGCCATCTACCAAGGTAGACATCTTTTAAGGCAGTATATCGACCACTGCTTATGCCAGCTAAATAAACCCAAGCGTCACTGTCCCTATAGAACTTTACAGCCAATTCACACTCCTCCGGAGCCATTCCACACCATAACTATGGACTTTATCGGTGATCTACCTTTATCTTCGTCATCGAACGATCAGTTACTTGTTATTGTCGACAAGTTTACAAAGCGTATTGGTTTGATTCCCGGAAATCCACTTGGTCGGCTCGTGAGTGGGGGGAATAGCTTTAGTTAACTACCTCCGGGGATATAACTGGGGTTTCCAAAGCGCATAATTACCGACCGTGATTCTAGATTCATGAGCTCGTTCTGGAAGGGCATGTTCGTGGCTATGGGAGCTGAGTGGTTTTATTCTACTGCGTACCATCCCCAAACAGATGGACAAACTGAAAGGCTTATCCAAACACTTAGATCATGTTTCGACATCAATTAATAAAAAACCCGAATGTGGATTGGGAAATTTATACCTTGTTTATATCGACTATAAATACTCTCCGAACGCCTCCACTAAAGCCTCCCCGCATCGATTGATGTTCGGCCTGGAGTTGCGTCGACCATGGAACATCCTAAAGGGGCATCTTGGAAAGATCACGCAGGAGTTCTCACGTCGAATTAACACCGAAGAAGCTCTAGCTTTCGCCTCCTTAAGGATAAAGGAATTTTATGACCGAAATTATGAAAACCCCCCTGTCTTCAAGCCTGGCGATGAAGTATTACTCCGGCTATAAAAAGGATATTCTATCCCTTTATCGAAGCGGCTAGGGAAATTGTCGCAGAGATACTCGGGGCCCTATAAGGTTGAAAAGGCTATTGGACGTTTATCCTATCGATTAAAATTACCTTCGAAATGGAAGATTCATCCGGTAGTTTCAGTTACACAACTTGAGCCCGCGAAAACTGGTGATCCATTTGGGAGAACCCTGCCGAAACCGCCACCGGTGTCCGATGAACGTTTCCCTGAACAGACAGATTGTTATGAGGTAGAAAGGATCCTAGACAAGCGCACTGTTAGGAGAGGTCGAAAGGCAACACCATTTACTGAGTACTTGGTACGCTGGCGCGGATATGGTCCAGAAGATGATCGATGGGTCCGGACTAAGGATATTGCCGCTGACGAGCTTATTGAGGAGTACGAGCGTTCGACTACTAATATACCTTTATTATTCTAGACCGAAGATCGACGGTGATGTTGATTAGGTGTTTTCTATTCCCTGTTCCTCTTTCTCTAAATTGCTACCATCCCTCGTCGCACTAAATTGTTTTATTTTGCGATTTCCTTAATCTCTTACTTAATATGCTTGTAGCGGGCAGGGCCCGCAAAGTGCTCGAGCCCGTATACCGGGCACTCGCGAGGTCGTGTAGAACTCTCCCGATCACGTGATCTCGTTTACCTCGCACACACATTTACCTGTTCGGCCGCCGCGGCCGCAGATAGAAGCTCTTCAGCGAGTTCTTTTAGTCCAAATCTATTATATAGGTTGAATCGGCTACTAGCCCGTGACAATGCTTCCTTCATCATGTATCTAGTTGGTGGTGGTTGAGGGCGACCTTATTTTGTAAAACCCCCATATGTTGCACGCTCATACGGGTCGGAACTGCATAAGTGGTTCTTAGCGGTTACCCTACTTCATTCGTCCATGCTTCGAACGTTTGACCTTGTCCACCTTCAACCTTCAATCTTCATCTACACACTAATCAATGAAATTGACCATGTTCTTCCTCTGAGCTTGTTGTGGAACTCAGGGAAATGGGGCGTAGGGGGCTATTCTATCAGCTACAGGCCAACTAGCCTAATTAGGAAGTAGATGTCATTCAGTGGAAACACCAGGAATCGCAGTATCTCAACCAACGGAGCCTACTAAGCGGTTCCCTATATTCTCATTGAGGTGTTCAACTATCTAAAGGATTGAGGGGTAGAATGGATCGGTAGATATTTCCGCACCGCCAAGTCGGGCGGATTATAGTGTTTCCGTAACAGAGCTTACGTGTTTTACAGTAACAGTCTAATAAAAAATTAAAAAGATTGTTAATTTTAAATATACTAAACTAGACTATTAAAAAAACTTGCCCCGAGTGACTAATTAACAATAATTATGTAAAGGGCTAGAGCCCGTTTGACCTCTCGGGCCAATGTCCCTATTATCCCTATTGTCCCTACTGTCCCCGTTGTCCCTAATCCTATTGTCCCTATTGTCCCCGTTGTCCCTATTGTCCCTACTGTCCCTACTGTCCCTACTGTCCCTACTGTCCCTACTGTCCCTACTGACCCTTTTAGCCCACGATCCATGTCACGTGACTTCCCACCTTGTTTGTTTACCGCTTGTTTCCTCTTCCTTTCTTCCTTTCTTCCTTTCTTCAACGATTCCTTCTTGTACATAACCTATCTTGTAGGTTCTATGGGTTCAGCCCATGACAAATTAGACTTTCCTAATAACCTACTACTTATCCTTAAATTCTTCCGAGTCCTTACTTTCTTCCCCCCCAGATACCTTAACTTTACTACCAGAAAATTCTTTATTATCACCCGCCCAAATTGGTTCAATTTGTTGAAAACCAGGATGCCTAAGGCACCTTCGGGCATCCTAGTCCTGAAGCCATCTGACATATCACACGCAAGGGGCTAAAGGACACGTAGACATAAGGAAGCGTTTATCTACGCTCTCTCTCCTAGATAGAAGAAGATACTCACCATGCGATACTAGATCGCACCGATAGTTTAATATACTATCCAGTCACCGCTATCCTAGCACCTCACGACATAGCTTCTTCCCCGAGATTCTCAACATAGGCACCAATTACTACTGCAAAATATCAGCAAAACCATGGAAAAATTATGAGTCATAATTTATGAGTCACAGAAAACTATAAATATTTCAATCTATTTCTATGAGATTCTATGAGAAATTGATTGGCTATATGACTCTGTTGATTTCAAAGCAAGTCTTACCTGAACTTCAATACAGATTTAATTACCCAAAAAGGAAACCAAAATGCGAATATAAAAGCAGGTCTTTGGAAGCAATTTTTTTATGATTAGGAGACGAGCAATTCAATCCATTCATTCTTCAATATATTATTATTATAAGAATATAAGAATCTATTAAAGATATTACTAATATTCATTATACCTTACTTCCCCTACCGCCTTCCTCCGACAATTATAGTTAAGGATTCTGATATTAATTTAAACAAGTATCCCGAGTTCGACGGAGAAATAAATATTAATAGATTAGAGTCAGAGTCTGGCACTGACTCTGACTCGGCGACTAAATCTGGTGTTCAGGATGATAATGAACAGCATAGTAATAAACAGGATAATTATAATAAGGATAATAATAAGGACAATAACAAGTAGGATAATAGTAAGGAGGGTAATAATTAATATATGTTAGACTAGTTAAGAGGCTATATTATAAGGTTTATAATAGCTTAGATTTATGGAGATAAACAAATTATTTAATGTATATTAAAAATAAAGTAACAGTCTCTGGTAATAGTTATAGGAAAATCCTATCCCTTGCCAAGACTTTCGGGAAGGGATTCCTATTAAATAGGATCTAAAATAGGAAATTCCTATTCCCACATACCTTCGAAATCAGGTCCCGTTTCCCATCCCATTTCCCATATGGGAAATTCTGTAAAGGGCTAGAGCCCGTTTGACCTCTCGGGCCAATGTCCCTAGTATCCCTGTTGTCCCTACTGTCCCCGTTGTCCCTATTGTCCCTACTGTCCCCGTTGTCCCTATTGTCCCTATTGTCCCTATTGTCCCTACTGTCCCTACTGTCCCTACTGTCCCTACTGTCCCTACTGTCCCTACTGTCCCTACTGTCCCTACTGTCCCTACTGTCCCTACTGTCCCTACTGTCCCTACTGTCCCTACTGTCCCTACTGTCCCTTTTGGCCCTGTGTTGGCCTTTGGGCCATTGGCCCTCGATCCCTATCACGTGACTCCCCATCTTGTTTGTTTACCGCTCATTTTCCTCTTCCTTTCTTCCCCTCCTTCAACGATTCCTTCTTGTACATAACCTATCTGTAGTGAATGAGAGGGAAATGGTAGAACTCCGAAGGAGTAGGTCAAGGAGACAATCTTAGACAGTCCAGAAGTTGTGGGCCCCGAGCCCACAAGTTCCTGACAGGAGAAAAAGACAACATGCCCTTTACGCAACTGCGTCCCGTGGTCTGTGAGAAGGTTGTTGATTGTCTATTACCTCTTCGTATGAGGACTTAAGATAATAGCTATCCATACAAATGTCACGTGCTAATCCCCGAATTCCTCCACTACAGTAGGTTCTACGGGTTCAGCCCTTGACAACACTAAGCACATATCCGCATCTAGGCTGACCGTTGGGAAGGGAAATTCCCATGGGAAATCGGGATGGGATTCCCCCTTCTTTCTGGATGGGAATTGGGGTAAGAAATGGGATCACACTTACTAATGGGAAGGGAATGGGAATTTGGGAAATTCCCTTGGGATTAGATGGGAACTTCCCATACTAAATCACGTGATCAATAATTACTGTATATACTGTATAGTTACTACTAAAAACTGCTACTTTAAAAATATACTAAACCTAATTAGGAAATGGGACGGGAAATGGGAAGAGTATTTTTATAATTTAGGGATGGGATTTCCCTCCCATATTTCTTGGCATGGGATGGGATTATCCCATCCCGAATCCCATGTAATGGGAATCCCATCCCATATTGCTTGGCACGGGATGGGAATCCCTTCCCATTTTCTTGAGACGGGATTCGGGACCATCCCCAGGATCCTTATGGGAATATGGGACGGGACCAGACCTCCCTCGGGATCCCGAATCCCTCCCAACGGCCAGCCTATCCGCATCTCAATGGACCTTCAAGAGGCTGGTCCTGTCTTCTCATACAGATCCATCGTATCGCTTCCTCCACAATACTGGCGACCATCGCCGGAACAAAGATAGGAACAATTAGTTAGAAACTCTTCCTTAGCGGTAGACGACAGTGTATTCCCGCAGTAGCATTCGCTATAATACTCCAGGCCAAAGTACCTGCTCCCGTCGCAGAATCCCGCGCAAGCATCCACGGTCATATTATTCGCATAGTGGAACGAACCATAGAGGGTTCTATTACTGCGAGAGTCACTGTAGCAGCCGTGATAGTGATAGCCTGTGATATTAGGATGAATAGGAGCCACATAAGTCGTGTCCCGATAGACACTGAGTCGAAGCGGACCACCACAGATCTCCAGACGGATTACCTGCACACGGTGTCTGACAGTCCACTTGAGCAGTCTCGTTCGTTCCGGGTACCCATGTATTCCCGCAGTAGCACTCCGTGCCATATTCAACTCCGAACCAATGATATTTCGCGCAAAAAGTGGCACATCGTTCGACCGTCATGGCAGTATCGGTGGTTGCAGCACCGGTGAGCATCCGCGGGGAGACGGAGTCAGCTATGCAGCTCTCATAGATGAAGGTGCTGGAGTTGGATCCGCCGCCGGAGCAGGTTGAGCCCAGATCGGCGATGCTGTAGAAATGGTCGACTACCTGGGTTGCTCCACTGCCCGTAGAGAGGTCAAATCTTCCATGGGCTACTTGACTGGCATCGATCAGGTAGCTTGCCGTGAGGAGGTCATATGCGCCTACTCTCTGCCGATGAGCCATGGGAATCGAAATGGTCGTCAGGGACGGTACTACACAGCAACTGCGTGGCGTATGCACAGTTAGAGTCAACTCCGCCAATGTCATATTACTGTCTGTTGTTCTCACCTGGAACAAGTGAGTCAGGTTCCCTTGGGTTTGTAGATGAACTTACAGCTGCCACGACCGTCACATTTTTTTTGCACTGCCGTCCGTTGCATCTGCCAGACAGCTTTGCGCAGACTGCAGCATGATCGTATCCTGCACCGGATACAGGAAGCCATTGTTGTCATGGAGCTCGACGACACCGTTGGAAAAGTGAATCTGCACAAGAAAAGTCGAGATAGACAAACTGACTGGGAGAGAGGTCGAAAATCCGTAGAACTATACGATGATCAGCAATCTATTCTCCTTCAAGAACTAGAGTCGTGACTTACAGCGAAGGTATCGTCAAACCCCGCTGCAGCTCCCTTATATTGACAATCAGTTGCACAGGGGCCACAACTCTTCCCCGAAGCGGTCATGGAAAAGTAGTCGGACATGGGATATCGCATTCACCGAACGGAAAGTTGTACGCACTCGGATTTGCCCGGAGAATTGTACATTTTCCCCAAAATCTAGCAGAGACAGTTGTAGATGAACGGGCTTCACCTCATAAGGCACAATGGGGTCTGTCAACACCACACCCGAGGGAACCACCTCGATCATCTGTTGGAGGAGGGAAGCACAGGTGGATCGGAAAGTCGTTGGGTCCGTGAGAGTCCGGATGGTGACGTTGCCGTCAGCCGTGAACACCTTGGTATCCGCGTCGCGGGAATTAATCCTTGCGAGGTTCCCCGTGAGAGGATTTCCAAGGACGTGATGCACGAAATCCGTTACGATCTTCTCATCGAACGTGGCGGTTCCATCCAGCAGTTGATAGTTGTGTGCTACGGATCCCGGGCGAGGATCTTGGGGAAGTTGTCGGCATGCACGCCGCCGAGGGTATGTCCACATGCAGTCAATGCAATCATTCCCGAGGTGTTGAATCCGGTGCGCAGGAATTGGTTTATGAATGTTCCCTGCGAATTTTGCGGCTGAGGCACTCCCACAGGGCCAGCGGTGGTGGCATCGATACGTCCTGCGCGGATGGGAATGATGGGTCCGCCGCAGGACCGAACAGCTGTGTAGACGCCCATGGCGATGAGGTCCGCCATGGACGATCGGGACGATAGGAAAGGGGTATATGTCTCTAGGGTAGTATTGAAGCCAGCACCGATGTTTTCTCCCCATCCCCGCCCAACTCGAACACCAGTGAGGCATCTAGTCCGCCGATGCCGGTGTAGATACTCCCCGTGGCCATGTCATGGAAGGCAGTCCGAAGCCATTCAGCAGAGGCAATTCGTGAGGGACCCTGTTGCGAGAAAGAACATGGGGTGACACCAGCCGAGAAGGCTCGTGCCTGATAGCCTCTCTGGAGGAACATAATATCCTCCAACTCGTCAATGGATGCAGGCCAGGAGGGAGCGACCTTTGAAGCCACATAGCCAGCACAGAGCAGGATTGTACTACAGATATGAACCATATTAATTAGTTACTAGGGATAAGCAGACGGAGATATCACCTTACTTCTACATGCAGGGGAAGGGTCTATTTATGTTCGTTAGAGCCGACAGGCCAGTCTCCATTAGGTCATAGGCACAAGTATGAGTGGCCATTAATTATAGGAACACACGGTGCTCTCTGCAGCTATTCTTGCACGCCAGGTGACTCCGATGGTGCCCAAATATATTCACATCTACAGTTCTAGTCCGGATCCCCGGATCCTAATGCCGATTGGTAGAGGTATGAGCCACCGTCTTACAGATGTCTAACCTCATGCCTCTAAGCAAGAGAACTACAGATACTGCTATATATAAGTGCTAAATTTACGGCAAAAGGGCCACTCTCGCAACCCATTCTACAACCCAGGTACAGAAAAACCAGAAAATGAGGGCCAGCCCCCAAATGTCCCGGGTCGCCGCCGATGCGCACAAACTGGCTTATGGAAGGCATACCCTGATCGATCACAAACAGCTGAAACCACCCAGGGGACTGGTATGCGCATCCGGAGGCGCAGTGATCGTACCACGTCGATCCGATACAGGAATACGCCGGAAAGATAGTACGCTGGCCAAAACTATTCCCATGAGTGCTGGAAACCATTCCTAGCAGCGAAATCCGGGAAACATTCCCTGAAGCGATAGTGATCTGATAGTTCTGTCCATACACCCAGTCCCGCTCAGTGATTGTGAAACTGGGTCGCGGCATCCCCGAGAGGAAATACGGTGGTAGGAAGACCTCGACGCGGTATTCCTCGGGATAGTCCGCATCCTGGGGATCCGAACCAGACACGAGGACACGTCCGTCAGGGAGCAAAATGGCCTCGGAGTGGTACATGCGCGCGATTGTTGTGTTAGCCATCACGCTCATGCGCTGATTTACGGGTTTGGATGGGTCGTAGAGCACCGCGTTGACATTAGGATCTTTGGCGAGTCCGAAACCCGCTACGCCTTTGTGCGCGCCATTGAGTATGAGATAGGTTCCATCGGGTAGCGCTGTCATACAGGTGAGGACTCTTTTGAGGGCTATCCAATAACTGTTAGTCTGCGAACTCTATCGCTGATGAAGAAGTTGGGGATGGCTCACCATGCGTTCCAGGGTCCACTGGGGATTGGAGGCTTCCGGTTGCATTGAGACACAGTTATCGATCGCGTCACCACCAAAGGGGTTGAACCACCGCAGATGAGCACCGTCAGCGGATCCACATAGGGAGCCGACTGGGGCAGAAGCACCATGGTGCCTTCGAGAGGATATGTGCGGCCGCCGGCGTCATTGTTCACGGCACCGGGGATGTTCGGCAAAGTCTTGATTGTGGTGAAGGTGTTCTCGTTGAGAATGCGAGCCTCGTTGTAATACGCGACGAAGATACCGCCTCCCGGCAACGGCGTCATGAAAGGATAGAGATTATTTGGATCTGTTCGATTCAGCCAGTCCATATAGAGTACCGGGCCTGCTCGAGGCAGGATCTCAAGGGTAGGAACTGGAGGCCCGTTGGATCCATTCTCGCCACCCACTACGAGGACGGACCCCCATTGGTCATGATCATCCCAGTAGGATACCAGCGCCCATTCTGCAGGGTCAATTCCTGAGCATTCTCTTCCCAATCATGTCTACTAGGTTGGCCAGCAGAGCCATCAGGCCAGTAAAGTCTGATTCCATATGTCGAGACACCTGACCAGCCTCCGATTGTGAGCTGACGACCGACCTTGTCCGGCAAAACCAGGCCAGCGGAACAAAAAGATATCTGATTTTACGTGCATCGGCCGCCACGCCAGGCTGAAGTTTCTGTCGAAGGCCGGATCGAACTCATACGCCCCGGTGGTGTTGGGCGCCCCCGTGCCGAATTTCTCCAGGAAGGTGACTTTCCCATTGATATTGAGGGTGGTCATCAAAGGCACCACGACGCCGCCGATAAGAAACTCATATCGACCGGCTGCTGACCCGACAGGATGGCTCCATTGCTGCAGTGGTGTCCCTGTCCAGCGATAGTAGGTAATGCGGGCACCCGCACCGCAGATGGCCCGTAGATTGCCGGGACATGGCATGGTGCATTCGGATTCGGGGAGCAGCTGCAGGCCATTTGCATTGCTAGCATCGCCGCAGTCTGCGATCTCTATTAGTATCACTCTGGCGGGCATCTGTCCTTGAGGAATACTAGACTAACGCACAACATTCTTCGCCGAACTCCATTCCTGCAGCCCCGAATCCAAATGCCGCGCATCGGCTCAGACAGGTTGTGGCGCTGTTGTTATGCTTGTACACAATCTGGTAAGGAAAAGTGCGGGCATTATCGACATTGTCCCTGAACACTGGTTAGCCCATCATGCAGCTGGGTCGAGTCAGCGGACAAACTCACGGTAGGCAGCCGACATACTGCCAGGAACCCGGCAGATCGGTTGTCTGTGGTGTGGGCACAGGAAGCACTGTGAAATTGCCCTGATAATAGACGCTCAGACGATCGGGACCGCCACACATCTCACGCATGTTGCCAGCGCAAGCCATGTTGCACTCCGACGATGGCCGGAGCGAGGCTCCATTACGTACATACTGATCACAGAAACATTGAGAGGCATACTCCATCCCCGCCACGGTGTAGTTGAGTCGTGTGCAGGTGGCCACGCAGGATTCCACCGTCATGGCTTTGTTTTCGGGCTGCATATTCATCATGACACGGCCATTCAGATTGTCCTCATAGCATCCTGCGTAGGTCCATCCCGTGGGAAGGGCCGTGACGACAGGGACACTCGTCGTCGTTGATGCCGGGAGGGTGGTGACTGGTATCGTAACAGAGGCAGCCGTGGACAATGTAACGGTATACCGGTAGATATTCAACCGGTCTGGCCCTCCACAAGTCTCCTGCGGGTTGCCATTGCAGGTCATCGTGCAATGTGCGTTGCCGTCCGACGCTGGACCACCCCCGTTCTGCAGAGCGGTGTCACAGAAGCATTGTCCTGAATATTCGACACCTGCCAGAGGATATCCAGCGGAGAGACAGCCCGCTTCACAGTTTTCCACCGTCATGTTTGCTGGGCCCCCTCCGTGTAGCCTGTTTGAGAGAGCGTGCGGGCTCTCGTGGAGTCAGTATAACAGCCCAGGCTTATCCATCCCTGGTTCTCTGGAGGGGAATTGTCAAAGCAGTGCTTATGATGCTAAAATAGAACCAATGCGACGTGGTTAAACCCATGATTGCATCCCGGCTCTCTAGACGGGAGACATCAAAACGAAGGGTAAATAATTTGGAATCCCAGATACCATCGATCGAGGAGTCATCACCAGCGAATCGGCCACTTTAGCTGCAATTCCATGCCAAACCCCTTATATGCCAAGGGCTGACAGACATTCTCCAGTTTTCCATATCCCTGAAAGCGCTCGGATCCGAATGGGCCCAGAGTGACTCGTGGTTTACTCCGGGTTATTGACTGTGTCTACAGCGGGCCATTTTGGCCAAATAGTCTACTCTGTCCAAAGGCGAGGGATAAATCTGGTCATCCTAACCAATCGCTTCAGCACGATGAAAAATACGCCAAGCCACTAGACCTTGCTCTTAGGCTGCAGAGTCGAGACGAGGTTACATTTTCACGTTTTTCTGCCAAAATAGTTGTTCTTATCTCATTGTTCATGCACACTCTCCTTACCCCTCTTCTCTCTACTCGCCACTACGACTAGGGACAGGCTCCCTCCTGCCACATTCTCACCGACTGAACCGTCATCCCACGACTACTCGAATTAGGCCAAGTTGGATACCAAGTAGGAAGAGCTTCGTAAAAGTCCAACGCAGAATTACCGGAATCAGTCCAGGGCTTGTTTCCCACGCCATCGCGGAACCAACCATTCCGACCGCCCACCGCCACATTCAGCACCAGATAGAAGGGCTGGTCGAAGGGCGTATTGGGTCGGCCGTGAGATGACCAGGGATCACGTACGAGGGATGAGTTTATCGTCATTCCGGCAAACACTCCCTTCTCCCACATGGTGCGGTCCTTCTCGAACGTCCAATACAGGACCTGCTGCAGGGGACTGTCCACGTATGTGAAGAGGTAGTCCTGGGACCACTGCAGCCCAAATATGTGAAATCCCTGGCTGAAATCCGTGCGGCGCAGAGCTTTACCCCGAGTCGCTCGCCAGAAGGAGTCTGTCTGTGCGGTGGGACCTGCGTGAAGACAATATCGAAGGTTCCTTGTTAGCGAGAGCGTTCTAAGACAACGTTAAGACGGGGAGTGCTATACCCCAGTGCATAGAACTGCTTATTACATCGCGGCCATCTAAGGGATAGTTTACGTCATTGCCGCGACTTTCGGCGATATCAATTTCACCACTGGCGGGCCAGGATCCGTAAGTGTCATTCACGGGCATCATCCCTAGATTGCAATCAGCAGCCGCGATCGAGGAAGAAGAGTTGGAAGCCGTACAAATAGCAGGCCAAAGCCAGTCGCCAGTGGGAAACTTCGCTGTCACCTCGACTCGGCCATACCGGATACTCTTGGTGCCTCTGGTATTCAACCGGGCTGACCGGACTGGAGGCAGGATCGTACCAAGCGTATGGTTAGATCGAACACTGCACTCGTCGTTGCTGGTTCCCGTACAGGAGCCATCGCCATGGGCTTTCGTCAAGTTCAGAGAGAACCCGTCCAGGATCTGATCGGAAGTGATCTTGGTGGTCTCGGTGGTCAATGTCGGAACAATATGCAGTCCCTCTGCATCAACATAGGAATTCTGATTGTCAGACGTTGTCCAGTCAAAAACACCGTTCCCAAAGCCATTCACCTAAGACACCATGAGCCCATGTATTCCGCGCAGAGAAGAGTCGGACTGACCTGGACCTCGTGATTCCACACATTGGTATCGAGGGTTTGGAAGTGGTCGTCTAAAATGAGACAATACTGAAACTTAATAAGCTTATCCAATCTTCTACAGTACCAGACAAACAAGACGACTTACTGACTGCTTGGGCACTTCTCGCGTCACAGAGTAGTTGATATACCCGCTAAGCACAATGCCCACCGCGATGCATCCCCAGATGATATAGTTCCCACATCGGGTGCGATAAAGTCTCGGGTCGTCCTTCCAGGGTTGCTCGTACTCCCCTTTCAGGCGATAAGATTGGAGTCGTCGTCTCGCCAATGGACGCAGTCCGCTCGATGACGGACCTTCAGATCGCTGAGACACACACGAGTTTATTTGGATCGATGTTGCTCTACTCGCTGTGGCGCTGTCAGTGAATGGATTCCGCGGAGGCTCTGTTATGACTTTCTCCATTGTAGTGCGTGAAATTTTCTCCGATAGCGATGCAACACCCATGAGTGTAGATATTCGAGTTGATACATTACGAGTCGTAGATTATTTAGTCGAAGTATCATCCACACAATGTGCATCACACGCCAGTGAGAGGGGTCTAGACGTCCCCATGGCACTCAGACTGCATGCCACTACTGCATGAGAGTGACAGTGGAGTGACGCGGAAATTAGATAGTGCGACGATTGGCAGTGGATCATTCGGCGAATTTTTCTCTCAGAAATGCAAATCAGCATGGTCTTCGTAAGGGTCCGGACCGTAGCGGATATGCAGGCGGTAGTATGTCTCCGCCTCTTTTACTTGTGGTGATATGCATGAGAGTCCAGACAACGCAAAAGGACCCTAAAATGACAATGTGGCCCTGGAGGCAAACCACTTTATTCGTCCCTCCTATGGCGCTATCTTCGTTTAATTTCTGTTATCTCTGTTATCTTCTCTGTGTCTGGTGGCCAGTGGATTCCTTGCGCTATACCTGCAATATCATGTGTCAGAAATCCCAAGGGAAATGGACAGTTCCATCTTTGGCACGCAGAGCATGGATAAGACAAGACAGCATCATCTGAAGAGCTAAGGACGCGTGAATGTAGGTTGCCCATCGACCAGGGTACCCATTGGTGCAGAAGTCACGTCCAAATGGAGACCATTTAGAAACATACCCTTTTCAGCTGCTGCCATGATTGATGTGAGATGCCACTTGCACGGCTTCTGACAGCAAGAGTTGGCTAGCTGAACATGTTCTGTTTTTAATCTCCATGTGGCGTTGCAGCTCGTAACTTTTCTTCTCGGTCACCTGGCTCTGCCAACGGGTGAGATTCGCTTCAGTTAGCGTGAGTGAGCGACAACGGAGATATGTTTTTGGCCAGGGGCATTTCTTCTTTAAGGCCGTGGAAGCGTATCAGATCCTCTCAGAGGGCACCCTCGTCTGGCAACATGAAGTTCCCTTGGACCTCTCGGTCGACCTCGACGCGGTCCCCAGTAGATGAACAGCCCACGGCATCCCGAGGCCATGGCGCTGAGGGGACGGAGACAGGATCTTCACGAAATTCTGTCGCGCCGGAGACATGGCTGGCGAGCATTAATATCGATGAGACATCCAGGTACAAAGCGGTAGGAGCTCTTTCTGCTTCGGTGCCGATTGAGTACACTTCAGAAGAACCAGCTCTAATGAGTATGAGCAGATTATCAAATTCCTGCACGCACGACTGCTGGCCTGTCAATGGATTTCCTCTACCGCCGACTCTCCGGCCCCGTGTCATGGCCTCCTGCTCCGACGGTCTCGAGGCGTGTACATCTCAGAGCCAGAGATAGTCAACCCCTTGCTTCTGGCGGCGGTTCAGGCGCTGAATGTCGAAGTCGCCTTCACCATGAGCACGGAGTCCACGAGGATTATTGCCTCGTCATTGCAGCCGGATCAAACTGAAGTCGTCCTCCCCAGTGGCTCTCAGCTGCAGGTTATAGATTCGATCCGGGACCTCTCTTCGTCTCCTCTGTCCCTCGTGAAGAAATTCCAATATGCGGCGCTGCTGCGGGAGGAGCATGTACTGTTGGTGTGGCATGACCGGCTGGAGAACATCCTGGATCATGTAGCCGACCTGGAGGAGAGGCTGCTGGCTTTGGTAAGAATAAATCCCCTTGAAGACTCGTCTGCCGCTGACCCTAGAAACAATGTTAATTAGGTTTGCGGAACATCCTTACCTTTCTTCAGCACTCGCAATCGCTCCGTCCTGCAATCCCAAGTGACCTCTCCGGGCACATCTACCTCGCATCTATCCGTCGAGCCCGTCGAAAAATACCTCGCAGTGTCGTCAAAATCGAAGGCCGAGGAAGCATCTAAGACGGACATGGAGGCTGCCCCCTGGCTGAGTCTCTAGACCGGCCCTTGGCGTTGACCAGCGCCATCTTTGTCGGTTTGGCGATGTGCCTCATGATAGTACTTCTGCTAGGGTTCGGTATCAGTAACCTTGTGTTTCAAACCTTGATCGATGGCGGCTTCATCCGTATGGCCTTGATCATCACCGTGCCCTTCTTCCTACTACTCAGCATGTTTTTCTTCGTCGTCCTCTTCACAGATCTCTTCCAGGCTGCTGGCCCCATCAAGACCCTCCAGACTAACTCCCGTTTCTATTCCGCCGTTCGTCCCAATCTGAACCGTGCTTGGGGGCAGGGCTTCACTCCCCACGGATCACCATCCAGATGCCTGTATACACGGAGTCATTGGAGGGTGTCCTCCTACCGACAATTCGAAGTCTCCAAGAAGCCGTCTCTCATTATGAGTCCCATGGAGGTAAGCAATCCCGTCTTGGGACATTTCTCGATGCTCCGCGAGCGTGCTAAATATTAGCCTAGGCAGCGCCACCATCTTTATCAATGATGACGGACTGGCGTATATGTCCCCGGAAGAGCAACAGGCTCGCATCCACTTCTACCACGACAATAATATTGCCTGGGTGGCCCGACCCCAAAACAATAGCGAGGATGGATACGTCCGGAAAGGCAAGTTCAAAAAGCATCGAACATGAATTTTGCGCTGAATGTCTCCAACCGCGTCGAGGACGAAATACTACATCGTCTGGCGCAGCATCTGTCAATCAGCGATCTGATCGATCCGGCTGAAGAGGCTGTCTGCTATCAGCGAGCCCTAGAGCACGTCCTCGAATCCGACCTGCGTATCCACGCAGGAGGCGATATTCGTATCGGGGAGTTGATATTGATCGTGGACTCGGATACGCGAGTAGTAGGTCTTGTCACGCTTTCTTTCTGGGATTTTCGTGGCTGATCTGTTCACAATAGCCTGTTGATTGTCTGCTCCATGGCGCGGTGGAGATGTATCTGAGCCCGGAGGTAGCCATCGTACAGCATGCAACCGGCGTCATGCAGGTGTCCTGGGATTATTTCGAGAACGGCATTGCCTTCTTCACGAATCTCATCTATTCCGCTATTCAGTTTTCCGTGGGCAGTGGGGAGACCGCACCCTTTGTGGGTCACAATGCCTTTTACGATGGAAAGGTAGACTATATTTCCACCTCCCTCTCCCCAAATGCTGAGTAACAATCGTAGCGGTGCAATCCGTCGGCCGTGACGATCCCGATGGGTATGTGACCTACTGGTCTGAGAGCCATGTATCAGAAGATTTCGACTTGGCCCTGCGGCTACAGATCGCCGGCAATGTTATTAGACTCGCTAACTACCACCACCGTGAATTTAAGGAGGGTATCTCTCTCACTATTTACGATGAACTTGCACGATGGGAGAAGTAGGTGACCCGTCCATCCTCCAGTGCAATCCTAATGTATAGAAAACAGATATGCGTACGGTTGCAATGAACTAGTCTTCAATCCCTTGCGGACGTGGCTCTGGAGAGGTCCTTGTACCCGACTCTTCATGACTTTTCTCTGGTCCAATCTCCAGCTCTCCTCTAAGCTCACCATTCTCGGTTACATCTCCTCGTGTTTGTATCCCTTTGGTTGAGCAGCAGGGATCTCTACTGACTGACTGCCTAGACTATGCCATTGCATCTGGGTTCCCTTTAAGCATTCTGAACTACTTTCTAGTCGGTTGGTTCAATGGCTATCTGGATAAATTCTACATGGAGTCCTGGAAAAGTATGGATCGTACATAATTATGAAGATGAATAGCTAACGCTCTAGTTTCAGTCTTCCTCAGTCTCATCATAGTATTCTCCGGCTTCGGCAACGTCACCTTAGCCATCATCCGCTATCGACTAGGTGAGAAAAGTCTGGGGCCCGCATTACTAGAGAATTTTAAATGGATGCCCATGTTCGCTATCTTCTTCGGCGGACTATCCTTCCATCTATCGCGGGCGATCCTGGCGCACATGTTCAGCATTAATATGCAATGGGGCACCACAGCGAAAGAGAAAATCAACTCAAATTTCTTCAAAGAGATGCCCAAGATCTTCCAGACGTTTAAATGGCTGTATGCTGTCCTTCTTCCCTTGGTGCTTGGCATGATCTATCTCGGGTGTTTTGCCCCAGGGGTGGGAGATCACTTCTGTTGCTGCTGTCGTGCCGGCGTCCGTTATGGTTGTCTCACATGCGATGTTGCCGGTGGTGTTGAACCCTTCGTTGATGGTGTTTAATTATTAGAGCCGGCTAATTTCAGCTCTTAGATTACAAGTTGGCGGACGAATGCCAAACTGATGAGCTTTGCAGTATGTGGCAAATAATTTTTTAAACTGGAAGGTTACACCCACGGCTGAGAATAGGTTTGGAGGAATAACTTTATACGTGTAAAGAGATACAGGAGCCAGTGGATTCAATATATATTGCTGTAAGAGAAACTAAACAGTAGATGGTATCTGTTTACTCTAGTTAGACTTGCGCTTTAAAAACTGCATTGCCATCCAAAACTGCAGCTATTGTATACTTCCATATACTGGGCACGCGGTGCTATTAAGATATGACGTACAGCTCATTTGTCAAGCTTCTACAGTATTTTATAACTTATAAAACTAAGATTACAATATTACCATCTTCTGGGGACACTGACGGAGGACGGTCCGTGCCGCGTTCCACTCCATGGAGATTAGGAAATCATACAGGTATAGAAAGGGGAGTGAATGTAGAGCTTGATTGCCTGCAAGGACGTGAATACTATTCTTTTTGGAAGGTTATGGGCTGGGCCTTACCTTCTTCCACGCTGGTCGCTGCAATTACCTTAATAGCCCACACTTCCTTAAACACGCATTCGCAATCGGAAAATATTCTCCGAAGATCTGGGATAATTTTTCCAATGCGTTTGTTGTTCAGGATCTGGGACCGGTAAGTATCACACACTCATGATGGGTTATATGTGAAATAATGGCAGTCGACAACGTGTACCACGTGTTCCGTCTTTGGGTTAGCTGTTGTGTGCGCGATGATTCGGTAGAGCCTTTGAAACAGGGGCATGACCTCTTCCTCAACTTTTCTCTCCTTCCAGACTATACAGATTTAGAATCCCATGGTAGCACTCCGGATGGTCTGGATACACGCTTCAGCGGTTTGAACATCTGGTATGTGCTCTGCACCTGGTTCTGCCCTTGCTTTGGAATATAGAATACCCATTGTAGTAGGATTAGAATGGGCCGTCACAAGAATATAGCAAATCTAGACGAGGAGATCATAGATTCACGGAGAAATTTCTGATATATTTAAGGGTCTACGTATTCGTCGCTATAGCCCGTATCTGACCTCCCTTCACTATAATTATGCATGTCTGACGACCCCCTTTTTTTCCGTCTTTCTGGGCTACCTACTTTATTAGGGCGGCTGGGACAAGGCAAGCATGCTACTGAATGCCCGATTGGCAGCCCATTACGGGATTATTACACATTCCGGCCGATCGCTTAGGTATATAATGTGCAAGCTTCTACACTTGCACGCCGCACGATGCTCTTATACCTCCCTGTAAGTTCTTTGCCTATTAGCAGTATATCCTCCCGCTGGAACGTATACAGCAGGAACGTAGCCAACCACCACCATGTCGATGGTTCGTTCCCGTAGGCGAGTCCACTACTTAACACGGCGATGTTCTGGACAACGCTCCTCGTGAGGTAAGGGTAATACTGTTGGAGTTCACCCATGGGATCTATTTGTCCCACCGGTAACCGTCTGGTAACTGTGACCGGATCGACCTCGGGATGAATCTGCTTGACGAGGTTGACGTCCACAGCCACAACGGCGTTCTTAACCATGGCCACCCCTGAACGCTACCAATAAAGCCCTGAGACAGACATCGTACTTGATCCCAGTCCTGGACCGCGCACAGAATCTAAATCGCCCAGTAGTCCACCCCGTAGGTGACCATGCTGGACGTACAACTATTGTAACCCGGAGGGCAGGCATTAATTTCATGTAAGTAGATCGAGGGCACCGATACGCATGAACCCGATGCGATGTTAACGGGGTGTAGATTAAGTGGATTTAGATTATCCAGTTGCTGGAAACGCACGCTGGACTGCCGGACGCGGCCTTTAACATGAAACACCCCGTACTGGAACCCTTAACGGAGAACGGCGGCCCCATGCTCTCTTAATTGGTGCCCGCTTACTCGTAGGCAGCCTGGATGGCATCACCACACGTGTTTCTCCAAAATGTGGCACATTAAACCCAAGAACGCTCTGATCGTCTGCAGCTAAAGGGAAGTTATCCGAGACTTCGCAAATAACCACCTCGCCCTCACAGAGGACCAAGTTGACGTTAAACTCTGGTCTATTAACGTAGGGTTCGATCAGCACTTGTGCTAAGTTTTAATATCCAGCAGCTCTAGCGATCGCTGCTTTTAATACTATGTTATCTGCAACTTTAAAAACGCACTCGCTGCCGTTACTGTTCACCGGTTTCACCACCAGAGGATAGTAAAGGCCCTCCCAGATTTCGGGCTAAGAATTAAGATCCTCCATATAAGAAATCAGTACACTTGTATTACCGGGCTTGAGTGCTCGGGTCTGGGACTTGTTGCAGGCTATGCGATACGCGGTCGCTGGGGCAGTGGGCAGCCCTAAGATCTCGGCTGCGTCTGCGACCGCTACCAACCAGTGATAGCTAGTAGTGTAAATACTGTTAATTGGCAAATAGCAGGACCGCACAGTGTTAATAATCCGCGCAGTAAGGCCCGCATCGGGTGTGATATTAGTGGCAATAAATCACTCGCAGAGGTGGCTTAGCTTGTGACTGTCAGGGAACCAGTTGCCTATACTAATAACCACCAGGATAACCCCAATACTGCAGCACATTCCCACTGTTGTTGTGTCTGGTAAATATTAATAGGCTCTACTACCACTGCGACGCGTTTGCGCGTGATCGGGGTTGGTAATAACTAAAAGAGCAAGATCCTGCATGCGATATCATGCTTGACAGTTTTAAAAACAGTGAGATCTGGTGTTAGGAGCGCTCGGAAGCGCGATAGCTAGATCCTTAGCTAAGATGCTTAGTCAGGTGCGAAGTGTTTATATTCGCACCCGCGGGCCTGAACTCTTGAAGGCCAGCGATTAGTTCTGCAATATACGTGGCTCTATCTTCTCTCCTATATAGACACTCCCTTTCGCACCGTAGCGCCCCATTCAGCTCGTTACCGACCCCCACGCATAACAGTTCTAATCGCTCACCCCAACGGTAACCCGCTGAAAGGAGCACTATGGCACCTCGACGCGTGCAGCGTGCTGGCTCCCAAGTCACCCGAAACACCGAGAATTCTGTCAACCCCGTCTCAGAGAATACCGCATCTATCCAAGCACAACCTGATGCTTCGATGAATCCGGGCCCAGCTGAAGAAACAGTTGAGGAAACAGCTGTGTTGCAAGGCGATAGCCCTCGAAAAGGGCTACTGGGTCCACAACAACAAACGATTCTTCATCGGATAATGAATTTGCCGAACTCCGGGACCAGATACGCCAACAAAAGCAGGAACTCAAGAGATTACGCATGGAAAATAAAAAAGGAGGGCATTGCAAGAGCTTATCGATTATGAGAAACGCATCCAAGAAAACCGAAGTGCAACAATTTCGCGGCCAGAATCCAATATAAGCACACCCGACCATGGAATACCACAAGAAACCGCACCCCAGCCTATGCCAGAGCCCACGCACGCATTGAAACCGCCAGCACCCCCAGCACATGTCTCGGAATACATGGGAAAGAACATGCAGGAATATCAGACATTTATCGCACGCATGGAAACCCATTTCGAACGAAATCGCTACTACTTTACTAATGATACGACGAAAGTGGTGGAAGGTACGGCACATCTATGCGCAACATTTATCCGCCTATGGAGGCAACACGAGGAGGAAGTCGCCGATAAACCTACCTGGGAGGACTTTCGCAATTTCTACTACGCCAATTAAACGACCCTGTTACCTGCGAAGAGATGCGAGCCAACGCTACCATGACGCCAGACAACAGGATCACCAAAACGTGCGGGAATTCGCAGCTTACCTTAACCAATGGGAAGTTCAGCTCCCAGAAGCATACACAGAAAATCAACGAAAGGATCACCTCCGGACAAGAGTCAAGCAAGACCTGCGACATGAAGCGCTTAAATACCACCAACGAACCAGAGACATATGAAGGCTATATCGCCCACCTCCAAACAATTGAAGATTCCATACCGGGTCGACGCAAGGAAATATCGCAAGCGAAGAATAGGAGAAGCCAACACAGCTTAGCTATGCGACACCGGACGACGACCCCAGGCAACACGGAAAGACAACAACCTTCCAGTCAACGGGGCCCAGACAAGCCATGGAGAGGCAACAATCGCGCCTTTCGTGGAAACTCTAATAGGTCCCAAGGTCATAAGCGACAGCAGTCGCATAACCCTGATATTGAATGCTATGTCTGCGGAGAAAAGGGACATATTGCGCCTCAATGTCCCAAACGTGCGAGAAGGGACGACAACCAGGCAAAAAACTAGGTGGCCCAGTGATGCGAGCAGCTGCGGCTCTGGGCCTAGAGGAAGAAAATCCAAAAGATAATGCCATTGAGACTATGGTTGAGCTGCAAGCACAAGAGCGCACTATTCCAACTTGTGTTAATCGACTCGGGGTGTCAAGCCCTTCTTATCAGCCGAAGGTTCGCAGATGCGCACCTCCCGGAGCCTGCAATAGGCCCGCGGAGGATATGGCCCTAGATGGTCACCGCATCCGTTGCTACGGACGCTACAGGCTGAGGGCAACCACCCAAGATTGCCACGGTGTTCGTAGAACGATTGAAAGAACATTCGATGTGGTTGATATGGACCATTATGATGCGATTCTAGGATACCCTTGGTTGAGAGAGGCGAACCCAAACGTCGACTGGGAACTAGGAACATGGGAATACCGGAAAATACCTCCGGAGAAAGAAGTCGAGATAATCAACGAAGCAGAGGTGAATCGCACTTACGAGAGGGAAAACAAGTCTACGCAGCGTACGTATCCACAACCGAAATAACCAGGTCGAAATCCGTGTGGGTTCTGCGACATCGGCGAAGGAGTGCGAATACCCGCAATCTACAAGGAGTTCGAAGATGTCTTTTCGGAGGAAAATGCAGGGATTCTACCTGCGCATGCAGACCACGACCATGCAATTGATATACAACCGGGAAAGGAACCCCATACCGACCAATTTACCCCTTGTCCGAAAGTGAGCTCGCAGTTCTGCGCAGATATATTGAAGCAGCGCTAGAAAAGGGATGGATTCGTCCCTCGAAAAGCCCAGCTGGCGCACCTATTATCTTTGTACCGAAGTCCGACGGAACACTGCGACTCTGTGTGGATTACCGCGGTTTGAACGAGATTACTGTCAAAATCGTTACCCCTTACCACTTGTTAGCGAGACTATGGATCGCTTGGCGCTAAGATATACCAAACTTGACCTGAGAGACGCGTATCACCGCATCGAATAAAAAGGGGGATGAATGGAAAACTGCATTTCGCACAAGATATGGTCACTTCGAATACACTGTCATGCCATTCGGGCTAGCCAACGCCCCAGCTACGTTCCAGTCCTATATTAATCGCGCATTAAGCAACCTACTAGACCATTGCTGTGTTGTTTATCTGGATGACATTCTTATATACTCGCAGAGTGAGGAGGAACATGTTGAGCATGTTACCGCAGTTTTGGAGAGACTGCGACAATTCGGGCTATACGCCAAGCTGAGCAAATGCTCATTTCATGTGAAAAGTGTGGAATACCTGGGATTTATCATCACGCCTTCGGGCATTCAGATGGAGGAAAGCCGTGTGGCTACCATCCAGGCTTGGCCGGAGCCAACAACCGTGCGAGAGATCATGATATTCCTGGGATTTGCAAATTTTACAGGCGTTTTATTGAGGGTTATTCCCGCATTGCATTGCCGCTGACCCAGCTCACCCGAGGGGAGCAAGGGGGAGGAGCAAAAGGCAATGGTTCTTGAACCAGCGCCTTGAGCTGCCTGAGGACGCAAGAGTTGCGTTTAATAAACTAAAAGTGCGTTTTCGAGCGCACCATTGCTATCTCATTATGACCCTAGGAATAGGACCAGGGTAGAGACAGATGCGTCTGGTTTCGCTATAAGTGCGATAATCTCCCAATTACAGGATGATAACGAGTGGCATCCTGTGGCATTTTTCTCACGAAAGATGACCGATTCTGAACGCAGGTATGATACGCATGACCAAGAGTTGTTAGCGATCATTGAAGCATTCAAAGTTTGGCGACATTACCTCGAAGGGAGCGGGGAGCCAATAGTGGTGAAGTCTGACCATGCCAACCTAAGCGGTTTCATGCGGCCCACATTGAAGCGGCTTAATGGACGTCAGGCGAGATGGGTCGAGTTGCTGAGCGCGTTCGATTTTCATATTGAGCACCGACCTGGGGTAAAGAACCCTGCAGATGCGCCAAGTAGAAGGCCAGATTATCTGCCGAGCGCAGATGAAGTAAGTGATGCGTCACTGCTTCCCACATTGCGATCAAAGTTGAAATTGGCCATGGGCAAGAGTCATTGGGATGACGCACCCAATGAGTTAAAACCGCATGGGCGGGAATAATGGCGCTGGACACCGAAGGCGGGTCCAAACAATTAAATAAAATGAGCTCTGATGCGCATATCTCCATGGGGAGTATGCATGCCCACGTGGATAAGAACGCACCCGTGGATGAGGACTGTGCTGCCGGCGTTACCAGAATTCTAGACACCTGGGTGCCACGGATCTATGTCCGCAAGGTTATTGGATCCGAATCAGCTTACTCCAGCATTGAGGAGTCCATGGTGGACTATTTGTGCAAATTGCACCAAGAGAATCGCGAGGTACGCGATATTAAGCGAAAAGTTGATCGCAAGCTGGGGACTATGGCAGTCCGGCCTGGGGAATTGGCGAAAATGGCCTACTCAGGTACCAAGGTCGCGTTTATGTACCCAGAATTCCTGCGGTAACACATGAAATTATGAAAGCAAATCATGATGATCCTCAGGGAGGACATTTTAGAGGAAAACGCACCTTGGAAGCCGTCGAACGCAAATACTATTGGCATGGTATGTGTGGCGATGTGCTGGATTATGTAAAAACCTGCGATATTTGTCAAAGAATTCAAGTGCATAGACACGCACCTTATGGCAAGCTGGAGCCTTTGCCGGTGCCAGAGCAGCCTGGGGAAGTGCTGACTCTTGATTTTATTACTGGACTACCGCCCAGTTCACCGAGTATATCTGCCAGCCCAGGGGCACAGAGAGTTATGATGCGATATTAGTGGTTGTGGATGCCCTAACAAAGTTCGCACTTTATATTCCTTGCAATAAGGATATCTCGGCGCCAGAACTCGCACATTTGGTTTATCAAAAGGTGGTACCCATGTTTGGTAATCCAAAGCGATGGGTGTCGGACAGGGGCTCGCTGTTTACCAGTAGCTACTGGTCGACACTGTGCTATTGCCTAGGATCAAGCGGAAACTGTCTACTCGTTTCATCCGCAGACAGATGGTCAGACAGAACGCCAAAACCAAACATTAGAGTATTACCTGCGAGCCTATGCGAGTTTCTTGCAAGATGATTGGGTTGACTGGCTGCCAATGGCACAAGTTACATATAATGCTGCGATTATTATCCACAAAGACAAGCCCACATGAAGCATTGATGGGCTTCGTCCCTAGCCTGAGAATCAATGTCGATCCTGATCCCACTGGCCATGCGCCAGCAGCGTTGGAGCGCGCAACACAGCTCAAGGAAAAGCGATCCTTGGTCAAGGATGCGCTTGAAAAGGCGCAAAAAGCCATGGCAAGGCAATATAATAAGCGTCGGATCGACAGACAATTCAAGATTGGTGATCAAGTCATGCTACGGGCGAAGAATGTCTCTACAGTGCGACCTAATGCGAAATTAGACACACCGCCAGCTAGGCCCATTTTCCATTATTGATGCATGGGGAAACCAATCGTACAAGCTTCACTACCACCAAAATATCGCCGTCTGACCCGTTTTCCACGTGTCTTTGTTGGAGCCATACCATGAACGACGGGTCAATGGAGCCGACCCCCGCCAATACCAATTAATGGCGAAGAGGAGTGGGAAGTGATCAAATTCTGGAGGAAAAACGCGACAAGAGTGGTAACATAAGCTATTTGGTGCGATGGAAGGGCTATCCACCTGATGACGATACCTGGGAACCAAGATCGCACGTCGAAGACACTGAAGCCCTGGACATCTGGCTTACTAATACAGCACCGTTACCCGACGACGTACGCGCTACATGGCTAAAGGAAAATAGCATTCTATTTAACTAAGACAAGATGGCGCAACGGCCCAATAACACCGACCTCCCACCCAAAGAGACAACTCAACCCTTGAAGGGGGAAAGGACCGCATCAACAAAACGACCCAGGCGACTGGGAGTCGCAGGAACGGGAGCCATGGGCGAATGCGATGGAGTGCGTTCAGGGACAGGCACAGATGTACTGCTATCCACGCGTGGTATTCGAGGTTTTCGAACCGCACGTCTATACTCCCTTACCAGCCCAGCCGCCCTCTCCTGCGCAGCAGGGCGACGAGACTGGGGAAGTCCAACAAACGTGCGATGTTCAGTAACCATAGAAACAGCCAAAGGACCAGCGGCAACCTCCGGAGCGACACAAGGGTGTCGCTGGCCAGTACAATAAACACAGTTTAAACGACCTGGCAAGAAAACACACGCTGACGCAGCATCTCGCTCCAAACGAACAAGGCAACGGTGGCACCAGGGACTACCCCCTGGGCCAAAGGCAAACCATTCGTATCAACATGGACCGGCGCAGGGGTAGTCTGCACCTGGACGACCGAAGCCGCCGATGGAGACAAGGGGGCGATGAAACTTTCGCACAAATTAGCAAATTACCTTACATAAACGCACCGGACTTACCAGACACGTCCGGAGAGGGCGATTCGACTCCGTCCGGCTCCGCCGAAGCAGGAGAGGATGGAAATCCCTCCCATTCCGGCGAAACCGAGGGGGCGCAGGTGTGAAAACGACATCGTCTTCAGAGGATGAACGAGGACGAACTCCACGGAGAAGGCGACGGCGTCGTGGGGCGGATTCTCCCGATGGAGGCGACGAAGCTTTGCGGCGAGCCATCTGCGAAAACACCCATATTAGTAAGCTCAAAACATGCGAGAAAGCGCTGGAGGAGCCGTTACCCTTATTAGCTGAGGCAGAAGAGTGCGCACGTACCGCAAGAAGTTTGGTGGTTTGAGAAGAGAAGAGGAGAAGAAAAAAGAGAAGAGAGAGAGAGGAAGCAAAAAAGCTCAGCGTCAACAACAGAACTAAGCTCAAACGGGCGAAAAACTGCAGTGAATGAAGCAGAACTGTTGCCATGGAGCGACTACCTGCGAAAACACACCTACACTCACCCAAGCTCCAAGACATCGTACCAAACATCGATCAACCGCACAAACCATTATGGGAAGGACTCAAGGGATTGGAATCTATAACACATTACCCATCATAACGCATATATTCATACTACAGTCTTTAAGGCTTCGAGGGCGAAGCCTCTTGGAGGGGAAGATAGTGTTAGGAGCGCTCGGAAGCGCGATAGCTAGATCCTTAGCTAAGATGCTTAGTCAGGTGCGAAGTGTTTATATTCGCACCCGCGGGCCTGAACTCTTGAAGGCCAGCGATTAGTTCTGCAATATACGTGGCTCTATCTTCTCTCCTATATAGACACTCCCTTTCGCACCGTAGCGCCCCATTCAGCTCGTTACCGACCCCCACGCATAACAGATTAGCTCCTGCATGCTGCCGGTTTCTTCCACTAGCTAATAATCCCTGGCCTTAAAAACCAATCCGACAAAAGTATGTGATTTGGAATTATATTATCCTATAGTTATACTGCGCTCCGGATGCAACTTTTTAACCGGCTAGAGTATTACTTGCTACCTGTGGCTATTTATTAGCATGTAAGCATACCTGGTAAGGGGTAAATAGGCAGTTTCTTTATCTCTCACGCCAGGATATGTACTTTGTGCTGTTTATTATTTAAAATACAAGCAAAATAGTAAATAAGTAGCATAGCCAGAAGCATTGCTATTATTATATACTAGGTTTTACTTTTTTAAATCCCTTCCCCTTTTTAGCATATTTATTTTTATTCCTGTTGGAAATCAGGATGCCTAAGGCACCTTCGTATATTCTAGTCCCGTAGCGATCTGATATATCACACGCAAGGGCTAAAGGACACGTAGACATAAGGAAGCGTTTGTCTACGCTCTCTCTCCTAGATAGATAAATATACTCACCATGCGATACTAGATCACACCGATAGTTTTAATATACTATCCAGTCACCGCTATCCTAGCACCTCACAACATAGCTTCTTCCCCGAGATTCTCAACAGGTTATGAGCCCGGCTGCGTGCTGGGTACCGCTGAGGTTATAAAGCTAGCGAACAGTTGGGCCTAAGTAAGTCTGCAGTAAATAAACTACGAAGAGTTATTATTAGCGTTGTTAGAGGGCCCTGACTTTGGTAATAGACTGCGAAGCTTGGAGTTTTGATTAAAGGAGGTTATATTCCTTATTACTAGCCAGCTCTGCGAGGACGTGATATTCCCTTAAAGGTTTACCAGCCAGCAAAGCCATAGTATATTATACTACTAGGATAATAAAGAGGTGTTCGCACCCAGACACTCCGCACTATCTGGTTACTAATAAAGATTGCAAAGTCAGACGTACGCAGTGTCTTAATAGAATATATAAAGTATATAAAGGATGTCCTAGTAGTCCTATAAAAAGAACTAAACACTATACTTATCTTGTTATTATTTTACTTTATTACTCCTAATATCTAATATATACAACTTTACCGAACTACAAGAAGTCGTATTATTAATTATAGAATCAGACTTACCTGACTTGCCCGCCGGAAACCATGGTCTACAACCCCCTACTATACTAGTTCCAGAAACAACAACACCTGCATTAAACGCGACCTTGCAGGTTCGATCCAACTATAATAAAAATAATACTAAAAGGCCTTCTATAATTAATACCTTACCTCTTCGAACAATATCTGATAGCGTGAACCTAAATAATATCCGAAAAATAGTTCCGAAACTGTCGAAAGATAATATAGATTAATAATTTAATATTTTTAAAAAAGCAGTGGATAGCAAGAAGCTCTGGTGGATTATTATAGGTCCTGAACAACTAGACTAACATGCAAACAGAGCTATTACTGTTTTTATTTATTAACTTATTCCTGATAGTAAACACAACCTTCTTAATTAGTACAACACGGCAAAGAAGCAGTTCAAGGCTTTAAAAAGGAAATAGCAATTATTGCAACCTGGTATTATATATAAGAAACTAGCTAAATTTTATAGTTACGGCAAACCAGATAATATGTCTGTTCAGGACGCCTATAACTAGCTTTGTAAAATAGCATAAAAATTACAAGCAAAGCTACTATATATACAAGAAGCTTTAAATTAAAAAATAATATTTAATTAACTTCTTGCATTGCTCCCGGAGGAATATAAAGCAGTACGAGATACACTTAATACCCAAGGAGTCTTTAAAAAAAATATTAACAACACCCTTAAAACACTGGAAAAAAAAAAGGATAAATTAAAAAATGCGAAAGTTAAGGATATATACCTAGCTTAAAACTACTAGAAAAGTTAAAAGGGATTTTAACACTAATAATATAATTATAATTATAGCTATTTAAGACACCAAGTGTTATGCGTGGGGGTTGGTAACGAGCTGAATGGGGCGCTACGGTGCGAAAGGGAGTGTCTATATAGGAGAGAAGATAGAGCCATGTATATTGCAGAACTAATCGCTGGCCTTTAAGAGTTCAGGCCCGCGGGTGCGAATATAAACACTTCGCACCTAACTAAGTATCTTAGCTAAGGATCTAGCTATTACACTTCCAAGCGCTCCTAATACTATCTTCCTCTCCAAGAGGCTTCGCCCTTAAAGCCTTAAAGACTGTAGTATAAATATATGCGTTATAATAGGTAATATATTATAAATTCCAATCCTGTAAGTCCTTCCTATAATAGTTTATACAGTTGATCGGTATTTAGTACAATATCTTGGAGCTTGGGTAAGTATAGGTATATTTTCGCAGGTAGTTGCTTTATAGTAATAGTTTTACTTTATTTACTACAGTTTTTCGCCTGTTTAAGCTTAGTTTTATTATTAAACACTAAGCTTTTTACTTTTTCTCTCTTTTTTCTCTTTTTTTCTCCTTTTTTTTTTTTTAAACTACTAAACTTCTTGCGGTACGTGCACACTTTTCTGCCTTAGCTAATAAAAATAATAACTCCTCCAGTGCTTTCTCGCATGTTTTGAGCTTACTAATATAGGTGTTTTTATAGATAGCTTGCTATAAAGCTTTATTGCCTTTATCGGGAGAATCTGCCCCATAACACTATTACCTTCTCTGTGGAGTTCATCCTTATTTATTCTTTAAAAACAATATTGTTTTCACACCTGCGCCTCGCTTGGTTTTACTGGAATAGGAGGGATTTCCATCCTCTCCTGCTTTGGCGGAGCCGGACGGAGTTGAATTACCCTCTCCGGACGTGTCTAGTAAGTCCGGTGTGTTTATATAAAATAATATTACTAATTTATGCGAAAGTTTTATCGCCCCCTTTGTTTTTATTAGCAGCTTTGGTTGTTTAGGTGCAGACTACCCCTGCACCAGTCCATGTTAATACAAATAGTTTGCCTTTGGCCTAGGGGGGTAGTTCCTGGTGCTACTGTTGCCTTGTTTATTTAGAGCGAGATGCTGTGTTAGTATATATTTTTTTACTAGGTTATTTAAACTATATTTATTATACTGGCCAGCGACACCCTTATGTCACTCCGGAGGTTGCTGCTAGTTTTTTAGCTATTTTTATAGTTACTAAACATCGCATATTTATTAGACTTCCCCAGT